TTTATAAAGAGGACACACATTAGAAGAGGCAAAATAAAATATGGGGGACTCCCTTCACCCACACACCACGGAAGGGGCTGAACAAATCCAATAAATGATATTACATCACTTCAGTCACTTTGTTTCCCAGCAGAGTCATCCTCCAGAGCAGGGGTCCTCAAACTAAGGCCCAGGGGCCGGATACGGCCCTCCAAGATCATTTACCCAGCCTTCGCTCAGGGTCAACCTAAGTCTGAAATGACTTGAAAGCACATAACAACAATCCTATCTCATCATCCAAAAGCAGGCCCACACTTCCCATTGAAATACTAATAAGTTTAAATTGTTCATTTTAATTATTATATTGTTTTAAAGTGTTTTTTGCACTACAAATAAGATATGTGCAGTGTGCATAGGAATTCATTTTTTTCAAATTATAATCCAGCCCTCCAACAGTTTGAGGGACAGTGACCTGGTCCTCTGTTTAAAAAGTTTGAGTACCCTTGCTCCAGAGTTTACTTCAGCAACAATGAAGTACTAACTTAAATTTGCACCATTATAGAAGATGGATTTAACTCCCCAGTGAGGTAGTATGGACCGGCAACAGTGTATTGCACACAGCTAAAGTTGCTGAAGTGAATTCCAGCAAGATCTCCACTGCAGCAAAACCAACAAAAAGGCAAGGGGTGCCTTAAAGATCAAGGGCGTTACCCTATGAATGATTCCCTGGCCCCAAACAGCAGCACTAAACTGAGAAAAACAACATGATAAGAGCTGTAGTGGAGCAAACCAGATGCAGCTTTTCCTCTTTTTTTTGTTTTGGCAACTAGACAGCACTGCACTGTAGTTTTTCAGGTGCCCATGACCCTTTTGCTAGGCCTTTAATGGGTTGGTGCCAAGGCCCTTCAGCCTGAATTTGGAGGATGGCAACTAGATGGGTTAACACAGCGTTGCTGCTGCCTGGATCAGGCCCGTAGCCAGGATTTCGTTTCGGGAGGGGGGGCTGAATTTTTTTTCAGGGAGGGTTCGGGGGGGGGGCTGAGTCTGAGTGAAAGAGGGTCTAGCCTAGCAAACCTTTTGTATCATTACCCCAATACCCCCATGCATATGGGATATATTGAGTATGGTTATCAGATCATGATATGAATAAACATAACAGTTTAAATAATGCACCAGTAAGGCCTTTTCGTCAACCACCATGAGAATTTCGGGGGGGGGGAGAGCTGAAGCCCCCCAAGCCCCCCGGCTACATGCCTGGCCTGGATGGATGTGGAGGAAGAAAAGAAACACTGTAGCTTACAGACATGATTATGGCAGTGGGAAGAGCTGTAGGTGCTCCGCAACAAGACAGCTGAAGAAGCAATAGTTGATTGTGCTGCTTCTTAAACTGTGGGGGCCTGATAAATGTTTTGAACATCACCTATAGACTCATCACATTAGAGCAGGGGTCCTCAAACTAAGACCTGGGGGCCGGATACGGCCCCCAAGGTCATTTACCCGGCTCAGAGTCAACCTAAGAGTCAACCAGAGTCAATTCAGTATGTTCACAAGCTCAGAGTCAACCTAAGTCTGAAAGCACACATCAACAACAATCCTATCTCATCAGCCAAAAGCAGGCCCACACTTCTCATTATATTTCTTTAAATTGTTCTTCTTTTTAAGTGTTTTTTGCACTACAAATAAGATATGTGCAGTGTGCATAGGAATTCACCCTTTTTTTTCAAATTATAATCTCCAACACTTTGAGGGGCTGTGACCTGGCCCTCCGTTTAAAAAGTTTATGGACCCCTGCATTAGAGCATGGATCCACTTTAAACCCAGTTGCTGCCTCCTTGCAAAATGCTGAAGTTTGTAGTTTAGGGAGGCCCAGGACCTGTCTGGCTGAGCATTTTAAAGCCCCCTCCTCTAAACTACAAATCCTAGAATTCTGTGGGAGGCAGCAACCAGATTTGAAGTGGATCCATGGTCTAGCTGCCTTGAGTCTCATCTGGGGTGAGAAAGGTGGGGTAGACCTGCCATAAATAAATAAATAATAGTGCAGGCATGGTCAAACTTCAGCCCTTGAGGTGTTTTGGACTTCCAACTCCCACAAATGTCCAAAATACCTGGAGGGCTGAAGTTTGCCCATGCCTGGTCTAGAAAAAACAAATAGCTACTTATAATCAAATAGACAAACCACTTTTTAGTGAGAGTTAGCTCGTGTAGTGATTTGAGCACTGAACTACAACTTTTTGTGGCTAAGCTTAAAATCCCCACTCAGCCACAGAAACCTACTGGATGACCCTAGGCAAGTCACTCATTCTTAGCCCCAGAAAATCCTGTAAGATCAACAATTTGAAGGCAAACAACATTACAAAACTTGCTAATTAGGGAAAATAGTCCAAGCATTCTTTGAACTTCCTATAAGCAGTCTCACTACCACTGACAGCACAGAACACAGTTAAACAATTCAGTATGTTCACAAGCAATTACTTTCCATGTAGCAATTGAGATTAAATCTATTACTAGCACAATAGTCCTGATTCAGCAATGACAGTCTGATAACAATGCAAGTGCAATGTGAGAGGGGAGAGTGTGACAAGGTCCTAGCTACTACAGGCTGTTTTGAGACATTGACACTAATCAGTTATGCAGGGTTTACTGTCGTGTGTGCAGACAATGCTTCAGCTGTACTTCATAAAAAGGGAGGAAAAGCTTTGTTTCTGGTAAGCCTTGCAAATGTTGATTTGCTAACAAACACTTGTGGGGGTCACCACAACATGAGGAACTGTAGGAAGGTTGAGAAACACGGGTGTATAGAATCCACATTGAACTGGATTATATGGCAGTGTGGACTCAGGGCCCTTCCACAGTCACATATCCCAGAATAGCAAGGCAAAGAATCCACAATATCTGCTTTGAAGTGGGTTACCTCAGTTCACACTGCCATAGAATAAAGTTCAATGTGGATTTTATACAGCTGTGTGTTCGGGGCCTCAGATAACGCAGATCAAAGCAGATAATGTGGATCACCTCCCCTTTTTTGTCATGTCAGGAGCAATTTGAGAAACTGCAAGTTGCTTCTGGTGTGAAAGAATTGGCCGTTTGCAAGGATGTTGCCCATGCGACGCCTAGATGTTTTTATCATCTTTGTGGGAGGCTTCTCTCATGTCCCTGCATCAGGAGCTGGAACTGTCATAACACAGGGGTTTAACTCACTGCGCCACCAGGGGCTCCTTGACATTCTAGGTTGTTTTTTTTTTTGTTGTGTCAGGAGCGACCTGAGAAACTGCAAGTCGCTTCCGGTGTGAGAGAATTGGCCGTCTGCAAGGACGTTGCCCAGGGGACACTCAGATGATTCATTGTTTTATCATCCTTGTGGGAGGCTTCTCTCATGTCCCCGCATGAGGAGCTGATAGATAGAGCTCATCCACACTCTCCCTGGATTCGAACATGTGACCTGTCGGTCTTCAGTCCTGCCAGCACAGGGGTTTAACCCACTGAGGCATAAGGGGCTCCTTGACATTCTGGGTTATATGGCTGTGTTGAAGGGCCCAAAGGCAGTGGTTTCCAGCCTTTACCCTTTCCAGTTTTGTTAAGGCCACCCAGATGAGTAAAATCCCACATGATCTGCATTGAACTGGGATCACCTGCCTTTACAATTATGTGGCTGTGTTGAAGGGCCCAAAGGCAGTGGGTTCCAACTTTTGCCCCTTCCAGTTTTGTTAAGGCCACCCAGATGAGTAAAATCCCACATGATCTGCATTGAACTGGGATCACCTGCCTTTACAGGAGTCCCCGGTGGCGCAGTGGGTAAAACCCCTGTGCTGGCAAGACTGAAGACCGACAGGTCACAGGTTCAAATCCGGGGAAAGGCAGATGAGCTCCCTCTATCAGCTCCAGCACCTCATGCGGGGACATGAGAAGCGCCTCCCACAAGGATGATAAAAACATCAAATCATCTGGGCGTCCCCTGGGCAACGTCCTTGCAGACGGCCAATTCTCTCATACCAGAAGCGACTTGCAGTTTTTCAAGTCGCGCCTGACACGACAAAGGGGGGGGGGGTTAACCCACTACGCCACAGGGGCTCCTTGACTTTCTGGGTTATACGGCTGTGTTGAAGGGCCCAAAGGCAGTGGGTTCCAACTTTTGCCCCTTTCAGTTTTGTTAAGGCCACACAGATGAGTAAAATCCCACATGATCTGCATTGAACTGGGATCACCTGCCTTTACAATCTGGGTTATATGGCTGTGTTGAAGGGCCCAAAGGCAGTGGTTTCCAGCCTTTGCCCCTTCCAGTTTTGTTAAGGCCACCCAGATGAGTAACATCCCACATGATCTGCATTGAACTGGGATATATGGCTGTGTGGACTCATATAACGCATTTCAAAGCAGATACTGGGATCACCTGCCTTTACAATCTGGGTTATGTGGCTGTGTGGAAGGACCCAAAGGCAGTGGGTTCCAACTTTTGCCCCTTCCAGTTTTGTCAAGGCCACACAGATGAGTAAAATCCCACATGATCTGCTTTGAACTGGGATATGTGGCAGTGTGGGCTGAGATAACCCAATTCAATGCAGATATTATGAGTCATTCTGCCTTGGTATGCCTCCCAGAACCCGTCAGTGGGTCCAACTGGAGAAGGGGAAAGGCCACATGATCTGCATTGAACTGGGATCACCTGCCTTTACAATCTGGGTTATATGGCTGTGTTGAAGGGCCCAAAGGCAGTGGTTTCCAGCCTTTGCCCCTTCCAGTTTTGTTAAGGCCACCCAGATTGGTTATGAAGGGCCCAAAGGCAGTGGGTTCCAACTTTTGCCCCTTTCCGTTTTGTTAAGGCCACACAGATGAGTAAAATCCCATATGATCTGCATTGAACTGGGATATATGGCTGTGTGGACTCAGATAATGCAGTTCAAAGCAGATATTGTGAGTCATTCTGCCTTGGTGCGCCTCCCAGAACCCCTGTCAGTGGGTCCAGCTGGAGAAGGGGCCAAGGAATTCCTTCCTTCCCTGCCTGGTTGCGTTGAGCTAGGCCTCACCTCCCTTGCAGGGGGTGCGGTGCTGGCTGTGCTGGGCCCGGTAGCCCTCGACCACCTCCCACTCGCCGTTGTCGCGCTTGATGGGGAAGGAGACGCTGAGCACGTGGTTGCAGGGCTTGATGATGCGGAGGATGCCTCGGACGCGGTGCCGCTTCTCCTCGGGGCTCTCGCGGGTGCGCAGCCCTTCCACCAGCTTGTCCTCCACAATGCCGGCGCCGCGGTCGAAGAAGCCCTCCACCATCTTGAAGAAGTTGGGGTCGTCCTCCCGCTCCACCGCTTGGCTGTAGCGCCGCCGGCTGCTGTTGCTACTGCTGCGGGGGGTCCCGGTTCCTGAAAGCAAGGCCCCGGCGGCAGACGCGCAGGGTTCCCCGGCCGAGGCGGCGGCGGCGCGAGCGGGCGCGAGGAGCTCCCCTAAGCAGCGGTACATGGCGGCGGCGGTGGTGGTTCCCCTCAGCGGCGCGAGACAAGCAGAGGGCGCGAGGCAAGAAGGCAGGCAGGAGCGCGCGCCACTCTCTGAGGAAAAGGCTGAAGGGCGTCGGCGCGGAGGAAAAGGAAAGGACGAGCAGGAGGGGGAAGGAGGCCGGCTGCACTTGGGCGACCCAATGGCACTCGACCACGGGCGGCCTCGCCCCCGCCGCTGCCTTTAAAAGGGCCCCTCAGCCAGGAGGGAGGGGCGGAGGCGGCCAAGCCTCCCATTGCGCAGGCGCCACTTCCCCTCTTTCCTCGGCCAAGCAAGTCTTTTTCTCCAAGGCCGCATGCGCGCCCACAGAAAAGGGGCGTGGACTTAGTTTTGCCCCGCCCTCTGTTCCTTCTATCCGAGCGCGCGCGAGGACGGTTTCCTTTTTCTTTCAAAGTGTCGGTACGTTGGTTGGCAGATGGCCTAAGAATTCCGCGCGCGGACAGATGATGAGGGAGAAGCCTCCAATTCCCAGAAGCCCCAGCCAGCTTGTTCAATGGTGAGGAATCCTGGGAGATTGAGGCCTGAGCTATGCGGCCTGGAGGCTTCTCTGCATTGAGGGGGCCTTGCTGAGACAACTTTCTTAAGCCGCTTATACACAGCTGTACAGAATCCACAATGAACTGGGTTGTATGGCACAACACATCAGGAAGTGCTGGGTTGGGAGAAGAACAGTCCCTGCCTGTTGGATTTGTAATGCCTGTGCATACAACAAAAATACTACTTATGTAAGATAAACAATAATAAAATTCAACAAACAGTTATATAAACATGTTATACTGTTTGTAATGCTTGCCAGTGGTTCTCAACCTGGGGTCCCCAGATGTTTTTGGCCTTCAACTCCCACAAATCCCAGCAACTTGCAACTCCCAAATGACAAAATCAATCCCCTCCTAACTCCACCAGTATTCATATCTGGGGAGGCCCTGCTCTCTGTCCCACCTGCATCACAGGCGCGCTTGGCGGGGACGAGAGACGGGGCCTTCTCAGTGGTGGCCCCTCAGCTGTGGAACGCCCTGCCTGCAGATATCAGATCGGCCCCCTCCCTGCTGGCGTTTCGGAGGAAAGTGAAGACCTGGCTGTTCGAACAAGCATTTGATTAAATAGTGTAATTGTGGAGGGGACGTGGTTTTAAAAAGGGATTTTTCAGAGATCTTCCCAATGCCCATATGTCATGATTTACTGCCATATTGGCCTATTTCTGCAGTAGGCCTATGTTCACAGAAAATGCTGATTGTTTGAGAAATCAGTGCTTCAAAGAAGAAGTTACTATTCAAGGATAACAGTATATCCGGACAAAACCAGCTAGCTGTTGGCTAGATAGAACCCCCCGAGTTTCCCAGTTGCTCTGAAGCCGTGTTTGCAACAGACTAACATAAGATACAGTCATGCTCAGAGAACAATGGATTATAGTTATGTTATAGTTGTGCGATTGTTAGGATCCTACGTTTGCTATAATGTCAATCAAAATCATAAACAACTAATGAACAACTGTATAGCTAACTTAGACCAATGAAATGATTTGTCTTTGGGAACCAATGAAAATGTATATTCCATTTACTGTAAATGCTCTGCAGCCCCATTGGGGGTTGTGACAAATCCTTTGATTGCATCCCTGTATGCTTGTTTGTCATTATTGCTTGTTGTTGTTGTTCATTCGTTCAGTCGTCTCCGACTCTTCGTGACCTCATGGACCAGCCCACGCCAGAGCTCCTGTCGGCCGTTACCACCCCCAGCTCCCTCAAGGTCAGTCCAGTCACTTCAAGGATGCTATGGCCACGCAATAAATAGTTTTTTGCAGTTTAAAAGATTCAACTTTCGTGGTGTCCATCCTTTCCCTCCCTATTGGAAAGGGGGCTTCTGCCTTTTTGGGAAATATTTTGGTTTCTTTGCCCCTACAATTGAACATAGGAATACGGAATAATGGATGATGAGACTGGATTCTGATTTTACTGTTGAGGCACTAACAATTGTTATACGGGTGTTTAATTATTTGTGTTACAATTGTTTTTAATTGCTCTATACTTGTCTCGTGATGTTTTGTATTGATGTTGTTCACTGCTTTGAGTCGCCTGAGGGCTGAGAAAAGCGGTATATAAATAAAGTAAAATAATTGGGTATTTGTGCCAAATTTGGTCCAGTGGATGAAAAGACATCCTGCACATCAGACATTTACATTACAATTCATAACAGTAGCAAAATTAGTTATGAAGTAGCAACAACAATAAGCTGGTAAATTGGCTGGGATTTCTGGGAGTTGTAGGCCAAAAACATCTGGGGACCCCAGGTTGAGAACCACTGTTTTAAGGCCCCATCCACACAGCAGCATAAAATCCACATTCTACATCCTGTTTGCCCCACCAGTTCAATGATCAATCTGTTTGCCCCCCAAGGAACTGGGAAATTGATGCTTTTGTTCGATGTTTGATGTTTTGCCTTATTTCTGATATAACGGATTGCATTTTTTTAAAAAAATTAAATTTTAGTTGTTTAAGCATAATTTGTTTTTATATGTTGGGTTGCCAAAGTTCGTTACTGTGGGTGTATTATTGTTGTGTTCAAACATTATATGTTTGTCTTTTATGTTTGGAATCCGCCCTGAGTCCCTTCAGGGCGATACGGTGGAATATAAATAAAGTATTATTATTACTATTTGAAACACAACAAGATGAGTCCAAAGCAGACAAGATCACTCTGTTGGCTGTTGTATTGGATCACACGTCGGACACTTCCCAAGTGTCTAGGACTGTGTGATGTATTGTGTTTAAATGCAGGCCAGGGTCTTTAGGCACTGCACCCAGTGTGCCGATCCTGGGACCACCTTTACTGGCTTGTGCCACAGTCTTTGCAGTTCAATCTTTAAATCCTCATATCGTGTCAGTTTTTCCAGTTTCTCTTCAATCCTGCTGTCACCTGGGATGGCAATATCAACAATCCATACTTTTGTTTTTAACATGATTGTGAGGTCAGGAGTATTGTGTCGGTTTGAATTCGGAAGTCCCAGAGTAGTTTGATGTGTTCATTTTCTGTAACCTTTTCAGGCTTGTGATCGCACCAGTTCTTTGTCGCAGGCAGATTGTATTTGTGGTACAAGTTCCAATGAATCATCTGAGCAACAGTGTTGTGCCTCTGCTAGTGGTCTGTCTGCGCGATCTTCTTGCAGCAACTGAGGATGTGATCTATTGTTTCATCTGGTTCTTTGCATTATTTATTATTGTTGTTGTTGTTGACCTGGATTATATGGTATTGTGGACTCAAGTAACCCAGTTCTAATCAGATATTGTGGATTATCTGCCTTGATATTCTGGATTGTATGGCTTTGTGGAAGAGTCCCTAGACTTTCAGGTGGGACACAGACACGGGGTGAACCTCCTTTATCCTCAGTCCTGAAACATCAAATGCTCCCAAACTACCAGGGAGGCTAGGCCCTTCCACACCGCCATATAACACAGAATATCAAGGCAGAAAATCTCACAATATTTGCTTTGAACTGGGTTATTTGAGTCCACGTTGCCATATATTCCAGTTCAAAGCAGATCATTTGGGATTTGATTCAGTTGTGTGGAAGGAGCCTCAGTCCACACTGCCATATAATCCAGTTCAATGTGGATTTTATACAGCTGTGTGGAAGGGACCTGAGGTAGGGGCACATTCGTGGACTGCCAAGGTCATGCAGATAAGGTTATACAGGGAGAGATTCTCCAGGGTTACATTCAGATCCTTCTGGTTTTTTGTATATCTGCCATCACATGATGTATGTATGTACAGATATTGTGCTTTTAAGCAATTTAGATCATCCAAAAGACTCCTGGGACATTGCAAAGGGGGTGGGGAGAGATTGTGATAGTGATGTAGCTTCCTGAAAGCACTATTTGTTCTGCCAATATTTTTCTACAGTGCATTGCTCATTGGACTGCTGTATTCATCTTAATCATTTTCTTATGCAGCAAATAACAGAAGTAGGACTCTGATCTACAACTCTTTGCTTGCTTCCCTGACTCTGGCAGTGCCAAATCAGGTCTAAACAAACTGCTCTCCCACATCTTTGTATTGTACCTTCCTTCTATGCTAAGTCAGAAAGAAAGCATTTTTAATGCAGCATTCAGGGGCAGTTCAGAGAGAAATGGAAACCAAAGAGAGACTGTATATATGAGTGCCAGGACCCAATATAAAATATGGCAGTTAACGTCTCTTTACAGAGTATATGCTGTAGAAGTTCCCAGACTTCTTTGAGGTGTGCTGAAAAAAAATTACATTGTGGTGTTTATTGAATTTTCAGAAAAGTATATATAGTTATATGGCAAATTGTCTTATGCACATAATGGGAAATCGTAACCTCTGATCCCCAATGCAATTCATGTTGATGTTTCATTCAGATCCATGGTTCTTATTATGCATAACAGGAATGCAAGCAGAATTTGCTATGTATCCCAATTTACAAACGTGTTACAGGAATAAGTTTGAGAAGCATCTTGGCCACGTCTAAAGAATGGAACTTGTGGTCATGGGTGATCACTTGTTCCTAAGTATGATTGTCTTCCAGAAATAGAGTCTTGGTGATTGGTTTATAAATGACTGTGAAGACCTATTCTAAATACACATAGACCTCCAGATGGAAGGGCAGTCATGACAAGGATTTGCTTGATGTGCCTTCCTCATGACATGCTTCTTCCATTTGTTTTGCATTTGTGCTTCTTCAATATCCATAGCACTGTTGGTAAGAGCTTGAGTGCCAGGACATCTCAGTTGTTGGTGTTCATACCACATTTTTTTAGGTTAGCTTTAAGCCCATCTTTAAATCTTTTGGTGTCCAATGACTTTCAATCTTAAGTTGAGAATAAAGCAATTGCTTTGAGAGATGGTGATTAAATAGAATTAGTATTTAATTGGAACCTGTGCCTCCTAATGTTTTGTCCTCCAGATGTTTGGAGATCAAAGGTCCTGCTGCTAGGGCCAGTGTTCATAGTATCTAGAAACTAAAGTTCAAAATAGCAGGAAGGCCGAGATTGGAGGACACCCCAAGAGAGCACTAGTGGCATTTGGGGGGGAGGAGTTGGAATGAAATGTGCCCCCAGATCTCTATGGAGGTAATATGTCCCTTTAGCCCAGGTATGGACAAACTCCGGCCCTCCAGCTGTTAGGAATTGTGGGAGTTCAAGTCCAAAACACCTGGAAGGCCAGAGTTTGCCCATGCCTATTCAAGCCTCCCTCAGGTAATTACTTTTATTTTAGACTTTTAATAGTACAATTCTCTGTATGTTTATAAACATCATTATGTTGATTGGCACATAGTTGCAGATCTTGTCATCCCAAACCAGAATAGTAAGTAGCAAAGTTCTGTAAGACTTTGAAGTCCAAATATATCTGGCAAGCTACATTTGTCTAATCTTGGTGTATATGACTATATGCTGTATCTCATCACCTAACGGTATCCATGTGAACAGCATTCCCTTTCTACAGGTTCTGGATCTGAGATTCATCCAAGAATAGATTCAAAAA